TGAAGCAGGGAGACAAGCAGAAGCCAGGGTTGAGAAGCATCTTCAAAGACCCATCCCTGGTGACTCCTGCCAGCTAGACACACCACATCTTCCAGGTCCCCAGACAGGGCAGCTAGCTATGGATGAATTATGAGAAGTGTGAACTTGTGGTGGATGTTGTAGGTGCAAACCATACAAGGTTACACCGAAGACTGCACAGGCATGTAGATTTCCTATACTGCAATGCCCTGATGTTTCAGCCTAAAATTAGACATGGCTGGAAACCTTTCACCTGCCTTCCTGTGTGTTCACATGGTTTATCCCACTTCCATTCAACCATCTCCTTGTCCAAAATCTACACAATAAACTTCTAGAAGTCCAAGCCACATAACTCATATCTTGGTCACCATATATACTAATATTATATACAACACTTCCCTCATGCCAGACTTAGTCTTATGTGCTGTAGATGTATTAAGCCATTTGATACTTGCAAAATTCTATGGCATAAATATTGCATCTACAGGCATTTTTATAAAAATAGAAATACAGGTATGAGAATTGAAATGACCTTCTTCAGCATAGGTCCTCAAAAAGGCAGAGCTTGGACCTAAGCCCAGATAGATTAGTCCCAACAGCCACTTTGTTAATACTGCATTATCTTTCCTCAGCTAGATGGAACAAGTAGGTGAGTGACTGAGGAAGTTGCTCCACTTGCTATTTGTCCTTTTTATTACCACTTGTCACAGGCAAGATGATAATGTGGGAAAAACCATGATCATAATTAAACATTCATGAAGTACAAGAATAGAATTTGCTACTCAGTCTGCAAATGGGAATCAGAACCTACATAAAAATCTAACCAATATGTTCTTCAATTGCAACCAATTAAAAAATACAGTTCCCTAGCTATAAACACTAATTACTAGCTATATTTAAGCATTACCATTTCTCTATTTTCCTAGTTTTAAAATTTGTTATGGGAATTTTATTTTAACATTATGCAGATATTTATGTGACAAAGGTGAGAGAATGCCGGGGAAGAAAAGTAGGAACAGACTATGGCTCCCTGGCCTCAAGTTATATGAAAGCCAACACTGCCTAAGCGCTGGTCCTACCATGCTCTGACTTAGAAACCTATGGGGCTGTTGAGAGGTGACAGAAACATTAGGAAGTCGGTAGAGGGAATGTTAGATCTCTAGTCATATGCCCTAGAAGGTGGTATTAGTACCTGACCTTTCCTTCCTTCCTTCCTTCCTTCCTTCCTACCTTCGTTCCTTCCTTTTTCATTGCTTCCTATTTAGCATGAGATGAGTAACCTCCTCTACCATGTACCCCACTATGACTTATTGCCCTAACCAGGTAACTATCAATGAAACCTGAAATCATGAACCAAGAGAAATCTTTCATTAGAAATTTGTTATCTCAAGTATGTTTATTTATTTATTTATTTATTTATTTATTGGTTTCTTGTGTAATAGCCCTAGCTGTCCTGGAACTAGCTCTGTAGACCAGACTGGCTTCAAGCTCACAGAGATCCACCTGCCTCTGTCTCCCAGGTGCTAGGATTAAAGGTGAGCACCACCATTGCCTGGCTTATCTCAAGTATTTTTTCATAGTGAAAAGAAGAGAAAATAACACCCTACCCAAGGGTTTCTGGGTCAACTTGGAAGCTATAGCTTTAAATGTTCTATCAATAAAGATACATTCTTTCCTGCACACTGCCCATCATACAGCCCCTCCTTCACCCCGATCATCTTGCACACACTGAATAAACATGGATGTTATACTCTCATTTCTGTTGCTGTCACAAATACTCTGACTGAAAGCCTCTTCAGGGAGGAGCAGGTATATTTGGCTTACAATCCTAGGTCATGGTCCGTCATTGAGGGAATTCAGGCCAGGAGCTTCAAGACATGCCTGCTTGCAATTCCATACAAAGAAACTCAATATGGAGTTTGCCTTCATTACAGCCCTAGTTCATACCAGGGAATACACATCACAGCCAAAGATATACAACGGGAAGGTGGAGGAAGCTGTTTGTACCTGGCCTACAGGCCAGCCGATACTCAGTTAGATTTTTATGATGTTCAGGGACACCTGCCTAGGAATAGTACCACCCACAGTTGGCCGGGCCCTCCTGTAGCAATTAATAAACAAGACAATCACCCCCAGAGATGCTATATGCCAATCTAAATTCTTAGGTGACTCCTCAATTGAGGCTCTCCTTTCAGATGACTCTAGGCTGTGTCAGGTAGACAAGATAACCCAGACAACTTGGTACATTATCAGTCTAGTGTACATATTTTTGTGCACATCTGCCATCCTAAGGATCTCATTTATTCCTGTGGTCTCAAATATCCTCTAAAAGTGTCAAGTCTTATCTTTTTTTGCCCAGTTTCTATCTCTGCACTGAATTGTCCACCGAACCATCTTATCCAAAACTTGGTATAACATATCCAAGCCAGAACAAACAAGCTGCCCTTTCAAATCTGATTCTCCTGGGGGAAAGGCAGGACCACAAACCTACTCTCAACAGAGTCTTGCAAATTCACACAGGTCTTCACCATCTTTGCACCTTATACCTCGTCAGGGATTCATAAAACCTACGATTCTGTTACATATCTTACAGCAGTGTTCCCACTGCTTCCCACCACCATAACTCAAGACACCACCTCCCACATCTGGACACCTCTAGGAGCCCCCAGCAGAGAACCCACTTCTAGCGTTGCATTTCCCCAGTTTGCTCTAACCCAGCAGATTCAAGAGGAAAGCCGTTTCCTGGTTTAAGCTCTTTCAAAGCCTTTGAAATGCTTTGACAACAAAGACAAGAACTTTACTGCAGTACCCAATATGCACAGCGGTTCCGCTCCAGGCAACCTCTGCCACTATACCGCAGGCTCCTCTTCTTTTGGTATATTAACCTCTGGTGTTCCTGGACTTTCCGGAGTTCCTCAGATGTGCTGAGTTTTGCTTACTTCTCTGATGCCTTCTCTGTACGAATTCTCTTTCCCCCACCTATTACCCAGTTAATCGCAGGCACCTCAACTTAAATGAGAAAAGTCACACATGACCACCTCTAACTGCAGACTAGGTTAGGCTCCTATTATCTATTTTCATAGCACAATGAACTTCCTCTACCACATTGCATTATCTACTATATTTTCCATCATTGCCTTCATTAGAGTCTGTTTTCTGTATGAATATTTGTTTGAGTCTGTCTCTTATAATAGATTCCAAGCTCCATGAATTCAATGTCCCCTGTCCTGTTTAAATGAGCTGCTGTGGCTGTTGTAGGTTGGAGGACAGTAATAACAACAGACATTTGAGGCCCATTCTTCATTTCATCCTTATAATACCCTTACAGGGAAGTATTAATGCTACCCTTTTGGTAGGTGAGAAAGCCAGTGTTAATTGTAGAGACATTATTTGTGCAGGTGGCATAAGACAAGGCTGGTGTACAATTTAAAGTCTGTGTTCAGTAGCTCAGTTTTTCTGCCTCTCCAATTATGTAAAAGTTGACTCTTCTTAGAAATGAAGAATGGCCATTATAATCTGTCTAATATTTTTCTTAAACATAATTGTCTACTAAGAAATTTCCCTAGCTCTTTTGTTCTTTGTAAATTCTAAAAATCAATAATATCTCTTTGGTATTTCCTGGGAGCTCTTTTGGTTTAGCATAAACAGTTGCTATCACTTCCCATTCAAGGCAAAGCCCACTAAAGCTTCTGGGAAAGTCCTGATAGGTTAAGACATATCTCACATCCATTGAATTAAAAAAAAATACATAAAGAAAGGAATTGGGTGGATTAAAGCAAATTGGGCCAAAAAGAAAATTAATGAGATAAATGCAGGAACAAAGGAAACAGAGAGATAATAGAGGAAGGAGAAGAGATAACTACAAGGACATGGGAAAGTAAGAAAAAAAAGCAGACGTCTCAGATTACTAAAAGTGTCGATTACAAAAGAGAAAAGATGCTGTTTAGTCTGTGAATTAAAATTGTGTTGTGTTGCATGTATCAGAGTGCAACAGACAACAATCAGAGGAGCTGGTTCTTGTTCTGACTATGGGGATTGCTCATGCAGAGGTTTTATAATTGTTTAACCAAAGTTAAGTTTTACACTTACTTCAAATGCCCTGTTTTTAGCAATGTGGGTGAAAGAAAGAAATTAAAGGAATGATAGAACCCCACCTGTACTAAATTGAAATGTGTGGTGTGTCATCTCTTCCTAGCCTTCTCTCCCAACAGTAGGACCAAGCTCATCTGCAAACCTGCCAAGGGCAGAGCCAATTTCCTAATCTGAATACATTTCCTTATCTATAAAGTAGAAATGATAGTACAGGGTTGGTTTTTCTCAGTGCATTTTCTTAGCTCCTAGAAGTGTGAAGATCTTAAGGGAGAATTTTTAACATAAGCTCAAACTGGATGTGCAAATCTCCATTGCATTATCCTGTATATGGTCTGTCCACCATATTTTGTCTTCATCCATCCCTCAATTCCAATGCTTTAAACTTCAAATGTTCATGAATATATGTCCAGTAGAATGCTTATTCTGGCAGTATGATTATTTAAGTGGACAGATTTTTGAGATCTTTAAAAATTAAAGTGATAACTTTCTAACTTATTACAGATAAGAACCTATAAACCAAGCATCAGTGGACACAATATCAGGTCTGACAAAACTTTTAAAGGAAATCTAGTTGTTTTTGGTGTGGCTTCAGACTTTGAAAAAGAAAGAAAAATATTCCTAAATGTTTGTTCATGGACACATTACCCCTGTTCCCCAGTGGCTCGAAAGGTGAGGTGTCTTGGTCAATAACAGCATCACTGAGTATTTCTTAGAAATTCATAAATTATGTTATAGTAAATACCTGTTGATTTCCTGGAGCCATGCTGAAGGCTTGGTGAAATGTGTGGTGTGTCACACAGAACAATGGGCTCCAGTGAATTGATTGCTGTGCTGTAAGTGCTGATGTAGGGGATTGTGAGGGGAGAATGGATGAGCACAGAAGCCATAGAATGGTTGCAGTCACCTATGATTATGTGCTCATCAAATTTACTCAGGAAGAGTGGGCTTTGCTGAATAATTGGCAAAAAAATCTCTACAAAAATGTGATGCTGGACACCTACAGTAACCTCACTGACATAGGCTACAGATGGGAAGAGCATAATATTGAAGAACTTTGTCAAAGTTCTAGAAGACATAGAAGGACAATTAGAAGATAGGAAACATATTTAGTAGTCCACACTTTGAATAGATTTGTTTAATGTGATACAAGTTTAAAATTGACTTGCTTTCCAACTTCATTGGAATGACATCAACAAACTCACACTGAAGAAAAGCCCTATGAGCACTGGAATGTATGAATACTTGCATTTGTCCTGGTACATGTGGCCAAATAGGTATAGAAGAAGGTGAAGAAATCCAACTCAAAGGTGCAGAAAATATATTCAACAAAATCAGAGAAGAAAACTTTCCCAACTTAAAGACATGCCAATGAAAATACAAGAAACCTACAGAACACCAAATAGACTGAACCAAAAAAAAAAAAGGTCTCCTTGCCACATAATAATCACAACACCAAACATATGGAACAAAGAGAAAATATTAAGAACAGCAAAGGAAAAAGATCAAGTAACTTATAAAGGCAAACCTATCAGAATTACAACTGACTTTTCCATGGAAACTATGAAAGCCAGAAGGTCCTGGAGAGATATTCTACCTACAATTAGAGACCATGGATGCCAGCCCAGACTACTATATCCAGCAAAGCTTTCAATCAATATATAGAGAGAAAACAAGATATTCCATGACAAAACCAGATTCGAACAATACAAATCCACCAATCCAGTCCTACAGAAACTTCTAGAAGGAAATCTGCAACCCAAGGAAGTTAACTACAACCAGAAAAATATAGGCAATAGATAATCCCACTTTACCAACAGCCAAAAGGAAAAAGGGATAGAATCCCACACATAATCTCGACACCATCACCAAATCAAAAACAAACAAAAATGAACAATCAGTGGTCATTAATATCCATCCACATTAATGGTCTTAACTCCCCTATAAAAAGACACAAATTAGCAGAATGGATAAGAAGACAGAATCCTTCCTTCTGCTGCATACAAGAAACACACCTCAACTTCAAAGACAGATAGTACCTAAGAATTAAAG